GGCCGGTGGCTGCGGGGCAGCCTGGGCTCGGAAATCTGGCCGGGCGGAGGCGGGGGACGGACGGACGGACGGCAGCACGGCGTCTCCGGGACAGCGCTTTCAAAATAGGCGTAATTTATTTCCTGTCCTCTGGTCAAAAGGAAACCGGTATTGTGCTGGTGCAGCGCTATTAGACAAAAACAAGCCCGACCGATTCGCACGGTGCCTGCAGCAAAACCGGGCCAGATTCGCACAAAGGAATTGACAGCAGTTGTCCTGCTGCTTTATTCTTCTCGCTCCCCAATTTCTCATTCCTACTTCTTCACTTGTTTGGGAAAGGTATTGTATTTGAAGTCACAGGGGGACGTGAGAGTACTTAAAAAATAATTTGGGTCCTTTCGCGCTTTGAAAATGAAGTAATAAGGTAACTGCATCAGCTGGTATATGATAAAGCATTAGTTTAGGTTGTGTGTGTAAAAGCAGATTTGAATAATTGTGTTATTAGGCATTTAGAGGAGAGCTGAGGAGCCCAGCCGTGCCCCAGAAATGGAGAGCGAGGCCACCCATCTTGCCAAAACTCGGCATACACAGAGTTAAATCCAGTCACATTACTGTTATAAACAGCCCTCTTTGAACAGAGTGCAAGGATGATGTTTAGCTAGGAACACAAGCTTCAGGATGAAGAAATAATGCCTTTGATTTGAGAGAGAGCACTTTGCTTTTAGAAATCAGGCACCACTTACCAAAATGTCTAGGTGCCTTCCAAAAAGCCCAGTAAGCCAAGACCAGCAAGGCAGCACTGAGTAAGATCTATTTCTCACTTCTTCCTAGGGGGTTCCGCAAATTGTGTCCACAGTGGGTTGGGCAGTAGAGGAGATGTGGGGTAACCTTGGAGCTTAGGAGACTTTCTGACCGTGAGGACAGGCTAAAGGTCTGGATGGAGGGCCTTCTATCGATTTTTTGTTTTGTTTTGTTTTGTTGTTGGTTTTTTTTTTTAATACACAACTCAAAGCTAGGGAAACATCAAAATCTGACCTAGAGCAGTGCAGCTGATTTTTACTTAGTAGGTAGGCCTGGTTTCACTGCAAATTATTTTGTTGGTAAAATAGGTTTTTCAGCCCACAAAGATACTGACAAGATACACTGACTAAGAAATTGCTTTGCTTGGGGTTTGTTATTTTTTAATAGTGATCTCCAGTTGGATACTCCCCATTCTGGCTTGTGTGTATCACAACATACTTTTAGATTTTGCCAAACCACAGTTATTTGCAATATTCCATTACTCTAGCATTTTCTTACCAAGGCGAAAGTTCATGGCTCTCTTTCAGTTCCGCGTATCTGCTGACCTTTCGTTTCACAAGATCCTGGAGGACTGAAGCTTTTGGTGACTTGGCGGTAAGTGCAGATGTACCCTCGCCCCCTGCAATCAGATCTGTGGGAACATTAAAGTAAAGCAAATCTGACCATGCAGTGTTTTAGTCAATAAAAGCAATGTATTTTCTTCCTTTGAAGGTATGGCGAAAAGCCTAAACTTTTGTTTTACATACACCGTTTCTTCTGTTCTTGCTGCCTTGAGAGTTTTGCTCTGCCGCAGTCCCACTCTGTAATCCATGCACAAACTCCTCTTTGTGGAGCATGGCCTTAGGTGGTAGATTTTTTTTTTGTTTGGTGGTGAAGGCAGCAATTTTACTACATTCAGTCATAATAAAATTTCTCAATATTAGTGGAAAAATAATTACCAAAGCTGCAGTAATGTTGGTGCAGTGTTCAGTGCTCTGTTGTCTCCACAATTTCTATTGACTTTATTTTAATAAACTTCTACAGATAAGTGCAACCAAATAAGTACAAGTAACTGAGGCTGCGGGGTTGGGGGGATATTGACATTAGAACCAGAATATTTGGGGGTTTATCCTCTCTTAAGGAGAACCAGATACTTTTCTTTTTTAGCGCCAAATGATTGTTTTTAAGTCATATGGTTGGTTTTCATCAAACTCATTAAAATGACTTGTGTGCATTTTCTGAATTGAGGAACCAATAACTGAGGAGGAAGAGTAAGAGGAGCTTATCCTATTTTTATAATATTTGATATTCTGTAGTAATTTTTAACTATTGTAAGTCAATATTCCAGCAGAACAGAATGCCATAATTCTGCTCCCAACTACAGAAATAAAATGATTATCCAAACACTGCTTCTCTGATGACTGAAGTAACAGAATCACTGTCTATAGAAATGGTTTGTGCTTGGATACAACCACAAAGCAGAAATAGAAACAATGAACATCAGGCTGAGTTAACTCCATGAATGTTTGGACATGTAGGAACTTGAGTGTAATCATGGCAACACTGACGCCTCTTTTTTCTCTTCTATTATATGCCCACTGGCTCCCGCTCCAGTGCTTTGTCCTTGTGCAACTTTGTGACTGCGATGGAGATAACGGAATTGGAACATGCAGGTTATGTGAGTGAGATCAGTCAGCTTTCACTCAACAATCGTTTTTTAAAACCTTTTGATGTAAAGTTTGAAAAAATAAAATGTGCACGTTTTGAAGCAAAAGACTACTTACCTGGTGTCTTACATGCTCCTAACACAGAGTCCAAAGGCTGCAACAGCAATCTTTGCAGAAAAATTTCCTCACTGCTTGCAGTTATCCACTGTGCCATAAAGACATATAAAATAAAAAATTAAGTGACTGAAAAATAAATTACGCCTTTTGTATCACTGCTATTTGGGATATTTAACATTTAAATACGTGTATATCATGCATAAAGTACGTAACTGTATGCAGATGCAGTATATGTGAAATATGTAAAATATGAATCCACACAGTGCCCATTGTTTTCAGTTACATACTAATACTGAACTGTAAGTCATTTCTGAAATATGATGTACTGTAGTATGGCAAACTAGGAATTTCTGGGTTTTTTCTCTAGTTTTGAGCTGTATGTTTACAAACTGACGTGGGAATAGTAGGCCTCAATTTGAGCCAAATTCAATAAAGGATGATCATACAAGCCCTTATTCAAGTAAATACCTTACTGTGAAGTCTTTCCAAAGTTTCTATTGACTTTAATCTCTTACATAAGTACAGAAATACACCCACAGAATTAGTTTGCAACACCAAGGCAAACCAATGACAAATTAGACATTTTCATCAGAAAAGGGCGATAAGGTATCTGACCTTTGATTTCAGAGTCACGGCAGCAGAAATTGTCTGCTGCTTCTGCCTAGTTTACAGAAGCCATAGACCTCAGTAGAATATCCAGACACTGTAATTCATTTAGGATCTGGAGATCTAAGGCAAGCAAGAAGCTTCTGTTTTAAGGTGACAGATGTGGAAGCTTGATGAAGAAGAGTCAGTGCAGTGAGACTGGCCTGATCCTACCGAGCAGTTGGTTCCAGCTGTTTTGGTCCTAATGAGGCTGTTTGGTACCCAGCCTAGGCAGAGATGTGTTATGGCAAGAGGGTAGAGAGGAGAGGGGAAATGGGAAGGTCCTGCTCCTTTGGGTGGCTCCTGAGTGTAGGCACCACAGAGATGGTGAAA